CTCTCTCTCTCTCTCTCTCTCTCTCTCTCTCTCTCTCTCTCTCTCTCACACACACACACACACACACACACACACACACACACACACACACCGCGACGTACAGATCCACCTTTAAGGGTGGATTCATCAGCTCCCCACCCTGACTGTCGAGGTCCAGCCTCCTGATGGGTCGGTGCGAATCCGACGAAACAGTCTGGCACCATCGTGTCTGCCCATTCATTCAAAACGAACGGGTACCAACAAAAAAAAGAAGAAGAGAAAAAAAATATATAACCCAAATCTAAGCAAAATCTAATAAGAAAAAATCAAGAACGAAGAAGAAAAAAAAGGAAAAAAAGAAGAAAAACCCTACCTAATGTGGCTGCCCGTTTCCAACGGGCGCCTGTCATCTCACAGGGGGCTTTAAGCCCTTAGTCACTTCAAAACGCGCCAGATGGCGTGACGTTTTTTTTTTTTTTTTTTTTTTTTTTTTTTTTTTTTTGTGCCCTACAGTTGGCTTATGCCAACGGTCGTCTCGCTTTACTTTAGTGGCACAAGGCAGACGAAGAAGCAACAAAAAAATAGTAAAAAAACGAAAAGCAAGAAAAGACAGGACTTACCTCACGATGATGCCCTGCCGTCCTCGTTTGAAGCCCGTACCTGAGCGCATAAGTGTTCAGATATGGGCAACGTAAGTTTTACCCCTCTTTTTTTTTTTTTTTTTTTTTTCCAAAAAAAAAAAGAGAAAACTCAGACCATTTCTTGGTCTGTACGTGTCACCCTCACACAGGGGCCATACTATTCTCGGCGCGGCTGATTCCAGCCGCGCGATCTCGAAGATCGCACGGCCGAAAATCAGCCGTTCCCATCCTCACGCTGCTCCAAAAGGAGCTACCCCAGTGGGGTTGTTAGTCGGGTTCGATCCCCATGTCTGTGGGGTAACAATCTGGCGGCAATACCTACTGGCTAGCTCTTTCTCACATCAAAGAAGGAGCAGCCTCTCTATAAGAAGGGTTCCAACGCCCAGCAGGCCTCTTTGCAACGCCTAGCAGACGAAGCCTGCTAAGCCGGCTTGCCGCCGAGGATGGCAGGCGAGGTCGGCAGCCGACAACCTCAACGGCTGCCCTACCCAGCCGGCCCCGACGCCCTCGCCCCCCGGTCCTCGGCACACATCGCGTGGACCCTAAAAATCATCCCTTCACGTCGTCGTCCAATCTCGTCGCGGCGACCCCTTTTCGGCCTGCTTAGGCCCTGATTCGCGCGGCTTAACAGCCGCGTGACCTTATTATAGGTAGAGTAGGCTCAACTTTAGTTTCCCCACGACCGCACATCAGTGCGGCCTCGTCGAAAATCGCGGACGGCAGTGCCAACTATGCTATCCCGCACGGACGTCGATGTCGTTGTGCGTTGACGACGTCAGGCCCAAAAAAGTTTAGGTCTCTCAGTCATAGTACAGGTCTGAATAACTTGGACAACGTCAATCTCATCAAGTTCCTAAATCCAAAATCGAACAGCGTCTGGCCTTGAAAAGATCGGGCAGAAACCCTCACAGGGGTTTCTGTCTCGACAACGCAACGATAGGTTTTCTCCTGATAAGCATTCAATCAGGATTTACCAAAAATTCTCAACCTTTACTACCCCACGGAGTAATTTCCCTGGGGCAGGCAACTCCCCTTAAACTCTCACTCCGCGGTCCCGCAGCCAGGTTGTGCCGGCTAACAGCCATCCACTGGGGTTACGCCCTAGAGGTGCTAATCTTTACCGCTTAGCTTGGTATTCCCCTACTATGTCCCAGAACTAACACAAGTGGTTAGACGGAGCGTCGCAAAACCAATCACGGGCCCACTGCGAGATCACGCAGGGGTCTGAAGGCATTTACCAGCTCCCCCACGAAAGGCATGGCATCCTTCGCACAATCACAAACAAAATCACCGCAAGGTCCACAAGGCCGTGACCCCTGACCTGATCTGAGCCAGCAGCCACCCATCCTGAGACGTCTCTCGCCCTACACTCTTTTGCGACTTTCTCAAACATCTCAAACAAACGTGGTCCCTTTCGTCAGACTTTATCACTCAAGCACTGCTTACCATGCCCTTAAATCCATTAACTACCTTTCACACGAAGGAGGTATCTCTCAATAGGTCTCCCAGCCATCCCTCTTTTTTTAGGATGAGCTATCACACGACCTTTTTTAAAACACCCCCCTTTTTGGGGATGAGTCTCCCGACAGATAACATTACCGAATTCCTTAATCTGAAGGGATCTCAATCATAGAACAACTCAACCATAAAACAAATCAAACTGAGAGGCCTACTTATGGATCCTCTCCACAACTCAACCACGAACCAACTCAACAGAGGGGCCTACTTATGCGCCCTTTTTGCGACCTAACCATAAAACACCCGGCATGGTAAGTATTCGAGTCTCAAAGACTCGCAAAATCCCCTAGGATTCTCATACTTTTGTCACACAACAAACTGCACTCCCTCTCCTTATAGTCGGCCCTGTCCTGCCTGTAGGCAGGCCGCACGAGTATACCGAAGAGTAAACAGCTCACATCCATTTATTCTCATGAAATCCACACAATCCAATACACATGAGATGTATCTCACACATCTCTCACACGAAGTCATCATACATCAGGATAAAACCACACGTGTGAGAGTGATTGTGATCGTCATATACAAAAGACAGTCTCGGATAAGGCCTCAACTCAACGTATACACAGGGGTACAATACCCCGACTCAAACACGAGCCAAATGTCTCGAATTACATATATACACTCGGAGTTGAACAATCTCAACTCAAATCGTCACTGGTATCACACAAGAACAAATGTGGTCTCCCTGACCAAAGCTATGGCTAGAACAGTTTGATCACGACGTAGCCATACCCCTTCAAGTCAGAGGGACCCAAGTAACTCATGACATATCCAGATACCCTAGGACAGGTAAGACTAGAAGTGATTCATACACGAGTCTTACAACTGCCTTCCTAGGCTAGAGAGCCTATCTCCCACATGCTGAGGGTTCTTTCCAAGCCTCTCCTACCTCTCACACCTATACGTCTATCTAGGCCTAGGCACGACGTAGGTCCCATATCTTCTTCTCCCGACCAATAGGCCTAATGGAACAGACCCTTAATTCGTAACAATACCGTCAGGGTCACTCCGTGCTCTATCTACTTGAGACATTCCAATAACATGATGTGAGGCAGACCTAACATACCCCATGTATACAGCTATTCTGTTGGGGTTCCTTCCGCCTGCGGTTCAGGTCACCTTACCGGACCATTATTGCGGGAACCGCTTCCCTCTATATGTTGTGCCTAGCTACAACAGCTATACGATTAGGACTTTCCGCTTGCATTTATAGTCTGCTTAAATTCCCAGGCCCTTCTCACACAAACTCTTCTTCCTCACGACTACATTCCTGAGCCAGTGCTCGATGTTCCATCTCGCCGCAAAGCCTCCCTCCGTGTTCCCCCTGGGATGGTTGGGTCGATATACTTCCCGGCCCTGTCGAATACATTTCCTTCAATGTCAGTTCTTATTAGACCGCTTGCCTCATCGGTCCTCCGTTGCCGACAAAACTTTATTATGTGCCCCTCCTTGGCACAATGTCTGCAAATGTCCTTTTCCAGACCCATTTTCTTTCCGCCAGAGCCACCCTTGCTGCCACCGCGTCCCCTTTTTCCATGCCCCTCATCCCTACAACCCTTTTCATCCTTTCGCTTTCGACCCCTTCCACCGGCCACGTGGCCTTCCGTCGCTCGTGGTATCGGTGGCTGCAATGGCCCTATACACAAGGTTGGCTGAAACTGGACTGTAGGAGGCCTAGGTGGCATCATACCCAGTTGTGGGCCCAAACAAACGCCTTGTACACAGGGCAGATATGAATTATGTACGGGTCCTGGTCCCACTTGACCGTATGGCGTCCACGACCCGTATAATGCCCGCTCGATCGGCGGGGGCCCCGCCTGTGCTGGCTTTCCTCCCAGTTCTTGCGGGGTGGCCCCTCCCTGCCGCATGCCCTGCCCCTTTTCGGTACCTTGGCTCCCCTAGGCCCGATTCCTCGCCTTCCGCTGAGCCTTCGTCAACTTGGGAGGTTCATGCTCCCCTTCTTCACCCATCACCCCCTTTTCCTTGCCTCCTTGAGGGGTGCGACCAATCTTTCCCCAACAATCACATACCACTTTTGCCCAGTGCTCTGGCCACCACTCACTCCCTTGCCTCTCCCGACCCGCAGCCGACGGTGCCTCTCTGCCAATGGGCTCTCCCTTCGGCTCCGACGTAATAACGGGTAGAGCCATACTAGATTCTCGTGCCTCCTTGATCTCAATGACCCCCTCGTCTTCATCTCTTTCTAGGGCGCAAACTTGCCCTCTCGGGGTCTTCTTGTGGAGGAGTAACTCCTAATGATCTTTCCTTACCTCCGCCTCATCCTGCCCAGCCGGTCCATTTGAAGCTCCTTCAAAGGCCTTCCTCTTACCACTCCCGGCCTCTTCTAATCGCGTCAACCTCTCTTCCAGCATCCCAACTTGCCTCTGGATACCGCTTAACTCCCCTTGCGTTGACGCGGCCTCGGTTGGCTGCTCAGGGCCCTTACCAAGCCTGCATTCCACCTCATCCTCTGGGAACCTCAACTTCAGAGAAGCTTCCAGCTCATCCCAGGTTTGCGACTTCAGCATGAGGGTGTACACCTCCTCACTTAGTCTTTCGCAAACGAACAACGGGAACATGTACCACATTGCCTTCTTGTCCCACATCTTCGTAAGACTGAAATCCTGAAAGTCACGCAGAAGGTTGGACAGGTTCCTTCCTTGGAACAGCAGGGCGCAGAGATCTGGGGGCATTGACGCCTGCAACACTTCGTGCAGCAACACCTTCAAAAGGCATAAATTCCTCCAAAGCAGGATCTTAGCGAAGCCGCTTTCTCCCGCCATGATGCTGACAGCAGCCTGCTACGCATGACGGCCAATAGATCACCAAAGTGATTTAAGTAAGCTCAAGCAGACAAAC